GTAATTGCAAGCACATTTGAATGAAATATCATCTTTTTTAGAACATGTTGAACTTCTTAATGAGAATGATATGACACATGGTATTTAAATTCAGCTGAATTACATTTTATGAAGAAAGTCAAATGTAAAATAAATTGGAAAGAAGTTAATATCTTGAAACAACTTATTTTTATTACCTACTTGTGTTACTTTTTACTACCTAATATTTTATTTACTTTAATATTCAAGTAAGATAGTTGATTTACTGCATAGTTGAAATTATTCAAATAGTATATAATGCATATAAATAGAGGTANTTTTTAGAACATGTTGAACTTCTTAATGAGAATGATATGACACATGGTATTTAAATTCAGCTGAATTACATTTTATGAAGAAAGTCAAATGTAAAATAAATTGGAAAGAAGTTAATATCTTGAAACAACTTATTTTTATTACCTACTTGTGTTACTTTTTACTACCTAATATTTTATTTACTTTAATATTCAAGTAAGATAGTTGATTTACTGCATAGTTGAAATTATTCAAATAGTATATAATATATATAAATAGAGGTGAGTCTTTCTGTGAAATATTCACTGCAAATTGTTATCAAAAGTGACTCTCAATTAACATTATGTTTTTGATATTTCCACAGATTCTCACAAATGAAGACAGACGTACAATCTTCTAACATCATACAAGTTACCTCTGATGCAAAAGATTTGTTTCGACTTGTAACAATCAATTTCTTCTCATTGAACATTCTATATATTGCCTCCAATCCTCTCTCAGTGATTTTCTCACAACCTGAGATATCAAATAAATCCGTAAGCTCTCCTGATATTTTGTCTAAGTTCCAGTAGTTGATATTTTTGCAATTCTTGATGCCAAGCTACTTCAGATTTTTGACATTACACAAGGTATTCGTAATGAAACACAGATCAAACCTATTTATTGCTTCGAGAATACAGTAGGCTCTCTCTCATATTGACATTTTTTTAACTTCTTGATTTGTTATGGAAGCTGTGTCTGAGATTAAAACCGCTTCGCGAAAATTGTGAAAAATACAAAACTGTCCACAAACTTGACATGTATAATACGTCAGTATATTAACAAAAGACAACCTATTAAGAGACAGTGAACAATTTTGTCAAACTAACTAAAATATGTTTTCTAGGAGACGGAGATAAATAAATGAACATCGTAAACCATATAATATGCACATTGAGGAAAACTCATTAATAGATGCATTAAGAGACACTTCACAAGAATTGTATCCTGATAAAGCAAAGTCTGAAACTACGCGCAACTTATTCATGAAGAATTGTTAGGACTGACTAAGGTAGCAATTGTTATTGATGCGCTTCGCTTTGGATTATTCTGAGTTGTTATGATAAAAGAAATTTGACATCACAAATTGCATTTGCGCAAGGACAAACTTTATAACTAGTTGTTTAAGATACGCATTATTGAGAGAATCATTAGCTTCCGATCTGGAATTGAATGAAATTCTCCATAAATTCCTTCCTTGAGGCTTACATTCGGAATATTTGACGTTCGACCTGTACAATAGTCGAGAAACGTCTAAAAAAGATGTCACGGATCTATTTAGAGTATTATCTTGCTGTTGTATCGGCTTCAGTATTACATAGAAGGGTGCCTTGCTACATATATCATCATACTTGTCCTGAACTTGCAAACTGTTCCGATTTATCGACGAAGAATCTTCGTTCACTTCCGCCTCCCTCATCTTAAACGCGTGATGAAATCTAGGTGGGCTCGGAGAAGCGTGAGATGCGCAGTTGTTATCATGTAACATATCGGAAACTGAATCATTGCTGTTTTCCTCCTCTTTTCTTCTCTTTTTCTGAGTTTTTCCCATCTTTATGATTTTACTCTTCCGGCTATTTGGGCGAAACACGTGGCGCGAGGCGACCGCTAACACCGGACGTATCAGCGGTCGTTCAACGCGATCGTGAAATAGACGGTGTTGGTTTATAACTCAGAAGAACAACCTAGTCTACACAAAAAACTTTCAATAACAATCTAAACTGAGAGATAAACTGTAGAAAACTCATACTAAAAAGTGAGTTGCCTGCGTCCTTTCACTTACAAGGCAGACAGGCCTCCTCGTTTCCTCCGGCTAGAGGCTGCTCTGGGAGGTGACGCCGATGGCGCGCGTAGCTCGACCGCTACACATATTTTAATACATAGGAAAATATATTGGGTCTATGCATAATTCCATAGCGAAATTCCGACAAATGTCGTTCGCAGTTGTTTTTCCGCTCGCACATGTGTCAAATATATAAAGTGTCGTACATTAAATGAAAGCTGATATTTGTGTTGACATTTTAAGAAAGTATTCATCGAAATCCGTGACATACGAAGTTTAATTATATTTTGAACATGGAAGGAAGAAACGTGTATTTTCGGTGCATTTCGCTTTTTTATTTCCGAAAAGGCAAAAACGCGTCGCAAACTCACAAAAAGATATGCGCCGTGTACGGCGAAAGTGTGTGTCGGAAGTGGTTTGCGAAATTTCGTTGCGGACATTTTGATCTCCAAGATGCTCCTCGCTCTGGTCGGCCAGTCACTACTGATATCGATCAAATCAAGGCTTTAATCGACTCCGACCGGCATTTGACGACTGCAGAGATCGGACATAACCTCAACATTGACCAATCAACTGTTTCGAGATATTTACGGAAGCTTGGGATGGTAAACAAGCTTGATGTTTGGGTGCCGCACCGAAAAGAATGTAATAGACCGAATTTCAGCTTGCGATTCGCTGCTCAAACGCCATCAAAACGAACCATTTTTAAAGCGGATGATCACTGGTGATGAAAAGTGGATTGTCTACAACAATGTCAGTCGAAAAAGATCGAAGCGCGAGGAGACTGCTCAGACGGTCGCAAAGGTTGGATTACACCCGAAGGAGAAGGTCATGCTCAGTATCTGGTGGAATTGGAAAGGAATCGTCTATTATGAGCTGCTGCCATCCAACAAAACGATTGATTCGGCCAAGTATTGTTCACAACTGGCCAAATTAAAGTGAGCAATCGATCAGAAGCGGCCCGAATTGGCGAACAGAATGGGCGTTGTATTCCACTAGGATAACGTTAGACCACACGTGATGACCCGGCAAAAGTTATTGGGTGGGATGTTTTGGTGCACCCACCGTATAGTCCGGACCTTCAGACTATCACTTGTTTCGGGCGCTACAGAACAATTTGAATAACAAAACCTTCAGTTCCCTGGACGTCCTCAAAAACCACTTGGATGACTTCTTTGCGCAAAAATCTCAGGACTTCTATGAAAGAGGAATAATGAAGCTCGAGGAGAGATGGCAGAAAGTCATTGAACAGAATGGAACATATTTAGTTGATTAAAATCGCTTTTTTTGCTAAATATTTTGCGTTTGAAATTCCCTCGATTTTCGTTACGGAATTATGCATAGACCCAATTTAGTTCAATATTATATGCAATTATACGTCCGAAGTAATTGACTAGAGCATTTGTCTCATATTGTGACTACGTCTATATAGAACTTTTAATGATTTAGAAAATATTTTGTAATTTCCAACTGCGGAATAATTATTAGAAGAAGATACTTTAATCATATTACTAAGCTCACAAGGGATCGTCATATCCTTTCTGTAAACATACATGTTGAATTTACATCTTTAAGTGATTTACTTTCACAAATACAATTTGTGATTAAACATGTGATGTAATATAAAGTCTCAGGAAACGAAGCGTCGCAATCGCAATAATGTCCTGTCTTTTCCCAAGATTTCCATCATCTCAGCGACAGGTGGCCCATCCTACGAGAAACACCATTTTATATATTGATATTTCTTTCCATAATGAAAGTAATATTCATTTGACAGTGCATACCTTCGCGCCGCTTAAAATGCTCCTTAGATTTTTCATCAAAGCGGCAAACGGAATTCCCTTATTATCAGCGAAGTTTCTTAAATATGGGCCAATCCAGTCGGTCTTATAGTTGTTCACATCCATTTCAACCAACTCTGCATTCAACAGCTTAATGGCATCTGCAGCAATATGCATTGTACTTTTGATCAATGAATAGGTCTTTCTTACGAAGAAACGTTGGTACCTGAACATTCAATTTGCTTGGTGCTTGCTGCAGAAACTGGAACGATCCACAAAAATGCCAGTTGTGCCTTGACGAGATCGTTGAGATTACATATTCTGTTCTGCGCCCATTTCAACGTTGTAATTATGTGATGATCGTCTAACTGCAAACTTCCATCATTTCTCCTACAATAGAAATATAATCGGCATCCTAAGAGCAAAGAATAATTTATGCACACTGCATAGCTGAACTACGTACTGTTCAGGAAACGCTTCTTGCACTAATCTCTTAACTCTTTCGATCAAGAAACTGTGATTCTCCTCATCTTTTAGCAGATTCGTGATTTCCAATTTATTAAATTCTAACAGTTTCTCGGGCATAAGTTTGCCGGAGCTCAGCTTTATTTTACTGATATCGAACTGTAACGGAAAATAATATATTCAAAAATAAGCAGTGACTTTTATGAGAATCTTTTTACGAAAAAATAGTACTCACCTTTTTAATCAACTCCTCGTAACTATAAAGGATTTGGTCTTCCTCTTCTCTGTGAAAACCACCACCACCGGCGCTTATCACATAGTTCACTAACGCCAATGGAAAGATACCCTGTTTCCTGAACGATTCGATATCTATATCGCTTTGTCTTTTCGATAGCTTGGACCTATCTGTGTTCAATATTAAAGGTAAGTGCCCATAAGCGGGAGGATCCCAACCAAACGCTCTGTAATCATCAGAATCTGTAATACGGCCGCTTATTATATTTAAAATATATCAAGCTTTTAAAGAAGCTGCTTACTTATAAAGCATGATGTGCTTGGATGTGGACACTTGCCACTCAACACCTCGCAAGACATGAGAAATCTCCATGAAATGATCATCCACTACATTCGCAAAATGATAAGTAGGATAGCCATCTGATTTAATGATAACCGGATCCCCTTCAGTTTTGCTAATATCGTGTAATATGTCTCCATATACCATATCATGAAAAGATTCCGGAGTAGACGGTAACTGCAGAATATTCGTCATAAGCAGCTTATATATTGAATCTTAAGATAAAAATATGAAAGAACATACCTTAAACCTAACACAATAGGTAAGGTTTTTTTTTAGCATTTCTTTCACTTCATCTTTGCTGTAATGTCGACACCTGTTATCATATTTGGGTACTTGCCTGCATCTCAATGCTTCATTCTTTATCAAGGCTAGTCTCTGCTCCGTACAAAAGCAATAATAAGCAGATCCATTGTCTAAGAGTTTAAGTACTTGTTTCCTGTGAGTGAATAAAAGTAATTAATGACATCACAGAGTAATCTGGCAGGCCAATTTATATTTCTCTACTTATTTTTAAGAACTAATTACATACTGGTATAATTCAAGTCTTCCTGATTGTATATAAGGTCCAAGGGGACCACCTCTGATGGGATCTTCATCGGATATAATTCCTGCCCATGACAGATCGTCCTGCAACTTTTTCATTGCTCCTGGAACTATTCTTGTTTGATCAGTATCTTCAATTCTCAGGATGAAGGCACCCTGTTGGCTACGTGCGAATAAATAATTGTACAATGCAGTACGCAATCCCCCCAGGTGCAGATAACCTGTACATATGCATTACTTTTGTAATTAAACAAATTGGAATGTGTGACATATTACATAGGCTAATTTGTTAGTATCCTTTTAACAAGGTGATCAAATTTAACTCGTTTTAACAAAAATAGTAACAACAATCGCCGATTACCGGTGGGACTGGGCGCGAATCTAACCCTGACATGATGCTTCTTGAAGAAACGTCTGTGCAACACCTGGAAACTCACTGCTTGTAGTATGTTGCGCTGCATTTCTATCGATTACGGAGATTTTTCTTTAAATCCTGCACAAATAACAGACGATTCTAAGTGTCACGCGATGCCGATTACAATAGTAGCGATGTTAACGTGTATTAACCATGAAGCAAATAACCTTGACATTACGATGATATTCTTTATAGCACTGCTTAAAGATTTGTGCGACCCAACGTTTGCTGGAAATTCAATTATTACAACGTTCAGCGATTCACGTGTGGTCTCGATGCACGCGATTTTGGAGCCACATGTTTCACGGTGGAACGTGCGATCGCGATTAGTACGACCCGTAAAAAAAAACTTACCTTTATATTATCTCAAACATGGCGAAAAGCATTGTGTGAATTTTGTTCAACACTCGTAACTACTTTATTATATAAACGTAGATGTTATAAAATATTGTGTAAACATTTCGTTTCGCTAAACTTTAATTTTGGCAATGCGAGGTGGCCACATACGAGAACACACTTGAAATACTTTATACTGGGTGTTCCAGATTTGTCAGAAAACATTTTAGAAATAGACGCTTCATTTATCCGGGGCTTATATGAATAAACAATTATAGATTCATTTTTAACTTTATATCTTGTAAAAGAAGACGTATATCTCTTCAGTTTTTAATCCCATGAATACAATGATGCTGAAAAGAGGGTGGAAAAAATAATTGGACAAGAGGACAAGTTGAAAGAAAGGATTGGTTACTGTTGAAATCGACCGCTTTAATTCTATCCTTTTCTTTCTGCGCGTTATAAATATTACATTTAAAAGTAAATCTCCGATATCTGGTAGATTCCTCGATATATCAGGTTTAAAACGTACAGGTTCTACGCCGCACTATAGACTCTGTAAACGAACACTTTACACAGAATAGTGGTATCTGATTTCACATTCTTTCTCTCTTTTTTTTCTTTCTGTCCCTTCCTCTCTCTATGATTTACAGTCTTCCATTAATAAGAATATTTACATTTTTGTTTATTCGTTACCATACGTCGGTATAAACAGGCAGATAAGTCTGCATCCTGTGCACAACTGCTATATTACACATTTATATTTTACATCCTTTTCCACTAATAACTTTCACGAGGTTCGTGAAGAGCCCTAACGAAAATGAGACACTCGAGGAAAGATCACGCATATCTATGAATAGAGGAAACTGTACAAACTGAATCCTCGAATAATTGAAAATGTCGAATGTTGCAAAACTTGCCAAAGTATCAAATGTATAATGTTGAATCGAATATCCTATCTATTTGACGCAGAGATTTGACAAACTTAAAAGATTTTATCCGACTTAGTTTTACATCGCAACGCATGGAAATGTAACATGTGTTTGGCATACAGAACAATAAAGAGATTGAGCAAGTAGTTTCCTAAAATATAATGCTCTTTGCAAAGCTCCCTTTCTTCAGCTTCCAAACACAATTCATTAAACTGCGTTTACGTTAATGTGAAAAGATCGACAATTATTATATTATTTTACGTGATGTATGTATCTACATAATCATTTGCACCAGGATTTGCCTCTTTCGTCCTATCACTAATGCCGAAAATAGACGTATTATGCGTAAATAAAAGAAATAAATACACGAGTGTATATCTTAGAGCATGTGTACCGGAAGGCACGTGATTGATTTTCAGTTTTTATGTGTCTTGCTGCATACATGCTCTAAGCTGAATATTTCTTAAGTCCACTCCAAACGGTCCATGATTTTGGATTATTAAAAAAAAATTAAAAAAGCTGGCGAAAATGTCTAAATAAGTGATTGCGACTCTTGAAGATTATAAATCTATTCCGACTAATCGATTGTCTAAAGTGGACTTTAGAAACAAAAGAAATTTATACGCTTCTATGTTTCAATTAAAAATTTGGCATAAACTGAAAGGGGCATATCAGAGATCACGAATTGGAATGCTGAGACGGTGTAAGGCTACCAGTATGCTCAGGGCTGTGTTTCTGTTTTTTCCTCTTCTTCTCCTTCTTTCGCTTTTTCCTGGCTTCCTTTTCTTCATCGTGTCTCTTCTGCTTCTTATGTTTCTTTTCATGCGTATCGGAACCACCTACGTCCGTCGTCGTGGCTTCCTGTCCACTGAGCACTTCTCCCGGTTTATGTTTGTGTTTCTTATGCTTATTCTTGTGCTTTCTCTGAGGTGCTTGATTTACGTATCTATACTGTTCCGGCAACTGAAAAATTATAAAATGTGATCGTTGATAAAACCTGTGATGCCTCTCGAACACATATATACACATTTTGAAAGAAAAATAATAATTGTATCTATCCATTTTCAATGTTTAACCCTTTGCACTCGAGGGCTCCGGAGCGGAGCCATTTAAAATTTGTCTTCAAACTCTTAAAACTCAAATGCAAATAGCAAGAGCGGAATATCCTATACACAATAGTTTTTACGATTTGTCTTTGTCCTTATGTTATGAACTGAAAGTTATTGTCTCCATAGCGGAGCCCTCGAGTTTGAAGACAAATTTTAAATGGAGCCCTCGAGGGTGCAAAGGGTTAACTATAGAAGAATTTGAAAAAGTTTGTAAATATTTTGAGATCTAAATTTTGTACAACTCTCACAAACACAAATTTTATTCTAGTTGCTCAAATATTAACCAATGTAACTTCTACTGCAATCGTTTTAAATCAGTTCTACAACTTCTACAATTGGAAATTTGAAAAATAGACATTAACTCTTTCCTTTCCAAGATATAAATGAAATACAAAAAGTAAAAATGTCTTACTGGGCCAGGATGTAGCCGAAAACCAGCTAATTGCACACTTGTTAGAGGCAGTAGTTCTTTACCACCTATGGGTGGTTTTTCTATTACCGATCTTAACGAGCTGAAAGAAATAAAGCGTAAAGTAACCAGAATCAATGTATTAAATTTAATTTTCATTGCAACATTCAAAAATTACCTGTTGTCCTGATGCCCGGGTCTATCTATGATACCAGGTAAATTTGGCAAGAAAGAAGACAATTGTTCTTTGAGCTTTTTACCGCTAAACTTGCTGTAGGAATGTTCCAGGCCATAATAGGCCATCAAATTTGTTGCTCCAGTAAGTTCGCTTTCCCCTGAAGGTAATAGATTTATTTACGCAAGAAGAAACATGACTTTTCAAGCGCTTTCGCAACTATACATTGTTCACAAAGAAATTTTAGTTTAAATTACATATTTTGTCTAGAAGATCCAATCCAACTCAACTGAACAAATCGCAAGAAAAAACCAAGCATAGATAATATCAATTCCTGGATTCTCTTTTAGCTTCACACTTACCAGGGGGTTCCTTCATCAAGTAGAAAGGCCCGCTGTGGACAATGGAGGGGTTCTTCCCCAGGGAAATGGTCGTCTTCAGGGTCCCCGTGGAGTCTTGACGAGATACAACTGGGGAGCGCGCACCCCTCGGCGAAGACTTTGGCGAGTACTGCTCCACTTTGCTACGAAATTGTTCGCCCATCATCATCCTTCGGCTTTACTTCATCGCACCTTCACCACTGCAAGTAACGTGGGTGCTAACGTGAAGCACCAGAGAGACGAATGAAGATTACAGTTCGGAGATAGCCGGTACACCGATACACCGCGGACGTAGATCTGAGAGACCCAGACACCTGGACAGCCGCACAATCTCACGGGCTCAGCCGTGAAGCATTATATGCTCTGCCATCTATCAAACGTACTTCCCCTCACGTACAGAAGAACGGTTTTCGGTTCTCCGAAGCAACCCCGTTGCACACAGCTGTTATGCGTTGCTGTTGCGCTCGTCGTCGCCGATAGTGATTGTATAGTACTTTCAACGTATAGTACTTTCGACGTATAGTCGCGTTAAAAATCGCACCCTTCTGATTGGGGTGTTGCAGTTCAATATGGACACGCCATAAGTGTCTCGAAGCTCACTATATAGATGATATGTTTTTCTTTTTATTAATATTTAAGATTACTATTCCTTCATTTTTATGCTGTAAACAAACTATATTCAAAATTCAAATTCAAATTTTAGAGAAATTTTCAAGTAGTACGACTCATCGACACATCAGTCTAGGGGTCTGCACTAGTTTGCACTGGTTCTCTTTTCCTCTCTTCCCCAGCAAATCTCAAAAAAAAGATAGGAAAAGGGAACAGTCAATGCAATAATAGAAAGCGGACCTTAGAATTTTATGCATCATGTGATGAGCTGTCGGATGTGCTAATTGGCCGTCGGATAAAGAATTTCCAGGATCCCTAACATTTTTTCTAGACACCCTAGAAATTCTCTATCCGACAGCCAATCGACGATATCTGTCGTAATAGCATACCGACAGTAACGACAGTAAAGATGCAGGCATAGCAACTTGATAAGGTTAGGATTTAATATTTTTACTTGGACTTTTGAAGAATATATGAAGATATATTAAAGCGTATACCCTCGAGGTATGAATTATAAATTATTATTTGCACTATGAAACATACAAAATTATATATTTTAAGTTATTAAGAAACTTACACCATACGATAAAATTATTTTGTTTTAAATGATAACAGTCAAAATGTAAAATATGAAATGAAAATTAATTCTTTACCAATAATCATTGTCTTTCCAACAATGACAGATGAATCCTGTATTGCGTACGATTCGTGTCTATTCTGCGAGACACGTCAAATACAGTACTCTACCTTCGGAAGCAGTAATATTTATGGGAAATGATATGGTTGCCTGTTGGCATCCAGACAAACCATTCCCATACGAATGTTCTCTGCCTCTACCCGAGGAAAAGCACGAAGATAATTCTTCTGTACTAAAAGTTGGGGAAAAGGATATTGCAGAAATCTTCAAGAAAAAGAAAGACTTTATGGTTATTGATGAACTAACCAAGTTGACGTATACTACTAAACACAGATGGTTCCCTAGAAGTAGAGATAAGAAGCCAAAGGACCTACTTCCTGATAGACCTTACCTGTAATTATCGAGACAAACTTGATGCATCAAAGTTCTTTATTTAGTGTGTTTCACATATATATTCATCTCTATATTGATAAACGTTGAATAAAGGTAATAATGACCTTTATATATAAATAATCCACTTACATGTGTAGTTTATTATCCTGTATTGTATTTTCCCTTTGCAAATCCATGAGATCATGTAGTCTAATTTACAAATATCAAGTTATAAATAAATAAATCTATTTACAGTCAAATATTTTATAAATACATAATACCTTGATCCGTCCGATTCATCTTAAAGTGATATTCTCTAGCGACCAATGTTTAATATTTTTCCAATTTAAAAATATATTTTGTACAGATTTATGTTTCCATTATTTGTACATGTGTGATCATTACATAGCGAAAGTTTGATCAAAGACTGACAGGTACATGATGATATAATTTGCAAATTTTTGCTGTCTGCATGTCAAAATTGCATACAACTTATTGCACTGCACACGCGCATATACACGAATGAGATCTTTACTTGTATGATACCGAAAATCAATTACAAGTTCTGGGGGAAAAGCTGACGTTCTCCTTCGTGCAATAAAATCCGCAAGGCTTTGTACAATAAGTATCTGCCGAATTTTTGTTTCTGTTGCATGCTCCATGTCGCAACGATACCATAGTACGCACCGCCCTTGCAATTTCCCAAACATTCCGTTCCAATCGCGTCTATCATAGCGGCTTCTCTCGTGTACGCTTCCACTGGGATGACATTTTGAAATACGTGCAGACAGATCACGCCGTGATCGTTGTTCCATATGTCGAGGATGCGGTTGATCTTCTTATTCGCGCTGACGGACGTCTGCGAGACCCACACTTTGAAAGCATCGTAGAGATGTGCGAACGGCCTGGAATGTTTGCCTTTCCCGATGTAAAATACAGCATTAAGGAATATCGACCATATTTCAGATTCCGTAAGATAAACACTACGATGTTGCAGATCTCGCGTCACCCGTGGATCTAACAGCAGATAGTTGAAAGATGTCTGTGACATGCCCTCGCGCCATCGCCGAGACGGATTTGGCGATACAAACTCCTGGAACACCTGTTTCTCCAGACTCCTGTAGGTATCCAGATGTTTCGTCCAATCTCCAAACTCTAAATGAGACTTGATAACTTGATGACGCTGTCCCGTGTGATTCCTCGGGGCGATCCGTGGCGTTGACAGCCTCGGTAAGGCATTGGTATTTCTGATGCTTCTCAAATACATAAGACGTTTTTGATAAACGTGTCTGGTGGTGTTGGTGATTGGTCCAGGTTGGTCGCCAAGTTGAGCAAGTTCCCTTCTGAGTGCAATGTCGTCGATTAACAGTTGTTTCGGCAAGTTCTGGCCACCCGACATACTTGAGGCACCTGTCACAAATGAGGTATAACAGGTGAAATATTTTCCAACTATTTTATCAATAATAATCTTATATTTTATAAGATAACGATGTATGCTGCTAAAACTTGCTCGATCGCTTACCAGATGTAGTTATTCCGCTTTTGAAATCGTATTCACTTCCACTGAAAGTACTGAAAAATTATTTGATAAGATTAAGTTTGATAAAGCTTGATTGCGAAAAGATTTTCACAATGCATACAAGTGTTTTACGAGGAAAATGATATATTTATTGACTCACGTAAATGGTGAAACGCAAAGTTTCCGTTCTACTAAAATCACGCCCTCGTCGAGATCTTCGTACTTATATTCTTCTTGAGTAGTGACGTACGAAAGCAAGGATCTACAATTTAAGTAGTTGTATCTTTGTGATTACAATCTTTGTGATTCACATCAATGATTCAAATCATTGTTAAGCTAGTAAAACACCGAGTCAAATACTTACGAGCTCTTTTTATTTTTATGTATACTCGAGTCTCTTGTTTCATACGTGTCCTCTGCTTTTCTGGGTCCGATATTGTACTCGTCCAGTTTTGAAGAGTTCGGCAAATAGATCTGTCTCCCACGTTTTGTAAGTGAATTCACCATGAAAATGAGCGAATCGTTCTCCGCTTCCGATTTACGTGGAAAGGATTCGTGGAATTTATTGCTGCACCAACTTTTTGCGTGTAAATTACAGGTCTTACTTATATTTATACATATATCTTCATTTAACAACTTCTTAGTATCACACTCAACGCAATTCACAGAATTTTCACCGTGTGACGATGTGGTTGTAGATCCGAAGTTATTAGCGATCGAATCTGTCGTCTCGGTTGTCTTTTCAATTTTAAATCTATTCCTTCGAATCGTCACAAATGGGGAATTCGTATGCTCGTTCTCACAATGCTTTATCTCATCCCTTTTGTCATAGTCGAAACTGTCGAAGGTCTCGTTCTTTTTTTCCACTTGATTAAAACCATTATCTAAATCTATCTGACTCGAGTCGTTGTTATCATGCGCTGATTCATCGTCGTACTTGTTGCTTTCGTCCACTTTTACCGCCATATAGTTGTTATAATAATTCAGACGTTCCATTTCCAAAGTTCCATTAGAGCTTAACAACAAAGGTCTGAAATTAGAGTTCAGTGTATCATGGCGAGTCACATCGTCAGCCACCTCCGAGAAAATGGTCTTATCCAAGTTGAGCGGCTTTAAGGTGTTACGAGTAATAAATTCGTCGGCAGTAACGTCGCCTTCTTGCCGATAACAATCGAGTCGTTTCTTACCAGAATGGAGTTTGTATATCGATCTCTTCTTTCTTCTCGGCGTTGACTGAGCGATGTATCTCTTGCATCGATTAAATTCAGAATGTTGCGTTTCAGTTTTGTATTCGTGAGATTTCTTGAATGCTTTCGAGGATAAACAGTCGTTAAAAAGTGACGTTTTCTCTATGCTTCTTTTTCCACCTGCACGAACTGGCGTTGCAAAATTAGGCGATCTACTGACAATGTCGTCATTATGAACACGTGAGAGTATCAATGGAGTTTTGGTGGTTTTTATCCTCTTTCTATGATTGGACGTGTTAAAATTCGGCGACATACTAATAATGGAATTATCCAAGACACAGGGTGGTGTCGAGAGAATCTTGTCCGAGGTTTTTTTGTACCTTCTTTTGGAAGTGCTCCCTGTGCTGAACTTTGAGCACTGCTTTCTTACACTGGGAGCGTTAGATTTAAAAATGTCTTTATTGCAATTATGTTTAAGCTTAGATGAGAAATTCTTTGGAACTTTGCGATATCCACACTCATTAAGCGCTCTTACTTTCTTCTTTAATGGGAACGACATGTCTGAATTGTCCGTAACATTGTTACCCTCTTGCTTATTCCTCTTATGATTTTGCAGAGTTTCATTAATGGTACAATCGCTCGTTAATGTCGTTGAGAGATGATTAATGATCTTACTGACGAGACACTTTTCTTTTTGTATGACATCTGAAAGATGCAGGCTTGCAAAGTCAAAATCAAGATCGACAAATGAATAATTGAGCATATCTTTGCTATCAGTTTGTGAGAAATTATTCTGCTCAACAATCATCTGATCATTAGTCTCAAATAAATCTGCAGATCTTACATCCTCTTTTCCGTATTCCGTATCTATATTGCTTGCTGACTCTATTTTATTAACATTACACGTTTCTTGCACATTGTTCAATTCTAGATTTGTAGAGGGAGAATTTGGTTTACAATTGTAAAAACCAGAAAGCATATTACCCTTCGGTGTATTATCTATGTTTAAATCTAGTACCGCATCAGGTGATGCAACATATTCAGCAATTATGTCTCCATTGGTAACCAAAACTTTATCTGCAACATCAAGAATGAAAAGAGCAAGTAGTAGGATATTACTTTAAATTCTATAAAAATCAAGAATTTGGTGAAACAAAGTACCAAGCATCATGTTATATTTTGGCTCATCGTCATCATCTTGAACATCCTCGCAGTATTTTGCAAGCATTGTCACAGCTTTGAAATACTTCCCATCAAAGGCATAGTGAAATGGACTGCGTCCATCATTGTCCAAACATAGTGGATCACCACCATTTGCCAAGAGTAACTCCAATATATTTATTCTTCCCCAAGCTGCTGCTACATGAACTGGAGTCATTCCATCATTCGACCTGAAAATATATCAAAATTTATATTTTCATATATATATATATATATATATATATATAATCATTACAATTACACTCTATATTGATATTTACTTCACATTAGGATCACCACCATGACGTAAGAACAATTTAGTGACTTCTTCTGCAAATTCTATCGAATCATTGCCAATAACTAAGTGAAACGGAGTAACTCCGTGTGTCGGAATTAACACATTAGGATCTGCATCCTTACTTAACAAAAGAGTCGCCACTTGTCTATAATGATATAAATTAGTAAAAAAATACAAATATAATTATACAATTTGATACTTATTATAACGAGATTGTTTTTTACCTTATGTTATTGTCCTCCAGTCCGTCACAGAGGGACGAAGCCAAAAACAAACCACCTTTTGCCTTCGGCGTCGACAACATTTTCCTTTTTTTTTTCATCTTTTTTCAGTCCCGTTGTCTAAAGATATTTTCCATATTTTATGGTAAGTCTACTTTTATATATTCTTATACATTCTACTAATCGTATAAAGAAGGTCGAATAATACGGCAAAGCAGTTAAACAATATCGGTTAATCGATGCCAATTCGTGTTTCAGCTTCCAAGTCAATTCTAGTAAAATCGTTCCACCAGTTCACAGATTCAAAACTACAATAATAAAAACATTGAAGTTGAATTTGAAAAGCATTGTAGATACAGGATGTTTTACGCTGCACCTTCCGTTATGTCACTTATGAATATTCTCAAGTCGATTGGAAATTGAAATAGAAATTTCACCGAGCAAACCTTCGTCGATATGTTTACAAAATCCAATAATTCACTATTAGCCAATCACTTCGCTTAACAATGCAACGATAATGTTAGTAAAGGTTGCTTTCCATCAAGGAGACAAAAAATGGCTGCGTTCAGTAAAGAAGACATTCGTGATTCTAATTGGTGATTCATGAATCTAATTGTATGCTTTTAATTTCGGTTAAATGTAAAGTACACGCACTGGATCGGATGGAAACACCGCGTTCCGATTGGTATGTTCCCATCCATTTTCGGAGATGCGCCAATCAGAACGCGGTATTTCCATCCGATCCAGCACGAAACAAGCATCGTCTGCCGTTGGTTTAAGAACATTTATCAATCAGATTCACAAATTTTATAACAGTTGCAAAACAGTTTCCTCTGCCGAATGCAGCTAATACCACCTTTTCAGAGCAAATTCGCTTACGGAGGATTCAGACTGTGCATGACATTCGGAGGACCGACAAGGAGACTCGCTTCCTAAGTTTTTTTAGTGCGATATTTTTGTCCCCAGAAAACAAACTCTGCTATTGGATGATCAACGTCGTGTATCGGATTCGAGCGCAGGACGAATTTTCCAATATTTACTTAATTAACCGGGACAAAAAGAACAAAGATTTTTTTATCACAATTGAGGTTTGTTCGCTACACCGCTGAACTAGTGCGATAAGTTGAAGCGAGACAAGTTTTTTCGCTTCAACTGATTGCACTAGTTCAGCGGTGCAGAGAAAACGAACAGACTTTCGGTAAATTAAATGTCCGTCTATCCTCAGTCTAGTGTTTCCGAACGCAGCCGTCCAAACGCGTTGTGACGAGATTCACATGGTACCGCAGCGCTATCTTCAGCGAACATTACGAGCGAGACTTCCGTACGAGACGCGACGCGTGCGCGTACGGTGAGTTTAGTGACGCTGTGTCCTGTTGGTGAGAGCCGCGACACTCCGCGGTACCCGTTTAATTCCGTACCTAGTGTTTCGCTGTTTAATCAGAATGGATCCCGCAAAAATGACCATCATGCCGCACAGCAGGAAACGCGTCTGCTACTATTACGACAGTAAGTTACCGAGGAAGCAACGTATTTTGCAAACCCGCGCGAAAACACCGCACATACATGGAGAGCCTGTCAAATGTGTTGCGCCGTTCGCGCTCGTATCGCGTACACATCGCATTTGTCCTGCACGATCCTGCACTGCATTCGGCGGCTTATCAGCCTGTTCTCGCGTCGCCGGCCGTTCGTACGATAAGGCATGACTATTTCGACACGATTCGTCGGGATACGCGTGTTCCTATCGTTCAATTATATGATTTTCGCGGCGTTAAGCCGAGAGATCCTTAGCCATGCTTCCGTGCGACCGTAGCCGAGCGTGCGTCGGCCATGCCTATATACATTACCGTCCTATACCTGAGAATCTGTCGTTATCTGGTATCCTTGCTTAATACGGCTAATAAATTTGTAATCCACTCATACCTGTGATTTCAAATGATATCAGGCTCATCTGATTTGAATTCTCTTGCTGGATTATGCAGGGTTTTTTTTTATCCAACAATACGTAATTTTGATGAAACGCATTTTACAAATCGGTAATTTTCGAGTAAAATTTCCCATTCAGAGAGATAATTATTTGTCCTAAGTTTAGCGCCGTAATTTATTTTTATTGTGATGCAATATTTTGTCATGAAAACAAGCAAAAACGGCGAAATTGTGATAAATGCAGGTTATGAGAGGTGCTCGATTGTAACGAGAAACTTTGCGAGATTATTGACTAATACGAAATACAAAACCTTCTATTTCGGATGTAATTTACACTTTCCGAAAATATTTTCTGGAAAAATCGCCATCTCGATGAACTCTGTAAGAATTAATACAGTTTTTATAGGGAAACGCGAAAGATTCTCAAGTGTATTCCAGCGCACCGTAATCCATCGGACAAAACATGCGACACGACAATATCGATATACGAATGCTTCCTGTGTATCTCATTATTCAAATTTATATTATGTATCAACGTAATGTCTCCAGGTGACATCGGCAATTATTATTATGGCCAAGGACACCCCATGAAACCACATCGTATAAGGATGACGCACAACCTGCTTTTAAATTATGGCCTTTACAGAAAAATGGAGATATATGTAAGAATCATTTTGCGATTTTCTTCCATTTATGCATGGGGTTACAATTTCTTAATCGCCACAATCATATTCTATCATATAGCTATCATATTCTGTTGAACATAATGAAATATTTGAATGTAATTATATTTCTGTTATTATCTAGCGACCTCATAAAGCCACGGCAGATGAGATGACAAAATTTCATAGTGATGAATACATTAGATTTCTGAGGTCAATAAGGCCAGACAATATGTCTGAGTACAACAAACAAATGCAACGATGTAAGATATTTTATTATTGATATCTCCTAAATAATACCTATAATAAGTGAATTATTAAAGTTAGAACTACTAATACTTTTTTTTTTTTCCTACATCAGTTAATGTAGGAGAAGACTGTCCCGTCTTCGATGGCTTGTATGAGTTTTGTCAATTATCAGCTGGTGGATCCGTAGCTGCTGCTGTAAAGCTTAACAAGCAAGCTTCAGATATCTGCATCAACTGGGGTGGTGGTTTACACCATGCTAAAAAGAGCGAAGCCTCAGGCTTCTGCTATGTAAATGATATTGTTCTTGGTATTTTGGAACTGTTGAAATATCATCAGAGAGTTTTGTATATTGATATTGATGTTCATCATGGCGATGGTGTGGAAGAAGCTTTCTACACAACAGATAGAGTAATGACGGTTTCATTTCATAAATATGGCGAATACTTCCCCGGAACTGGAGATCTTCGCGATATCGGGGCGGGAAAGGTAAAAGTCTTATCAGAATTTATTTGTTCCCTTTGTATTACTCTTGATTGATTTTCTCTTCTGTTATTACTAACAGGGAAAGTATTATGCAGTGAATATACCTCTGAGAGATGGTATGGATGACGAAAGCTACGAATCCATATTCGTTCCCATTATCTCCAAAGTCATGGAAACCTTCCAACCTTCCGCTGTTGTTCTGCAATGTGGTGCTGATTCATTAACCGGTAGGTACAGTTTTTTAAATAAGATTACTGAACATTAAAATCACAGTTATAAGATTTAAACATAAATATTAATCGATGCAGGCGATCGTTTGGGATGCTTCAACTTGACTGTGAGGGGTCATGGTAAATGTGTAGAATTCGTGAAAAAGTACAATTTGCCGTTTTTGATGGTCGGAGGTGGCGGCTATACAATCAGGAATGTATCCAGATGTTGGACATATGAGACGTCTGTAGCTCTCGGATGTGAAATTGCAAATGAACTCCCATATAACGATTACTTTGAGTACTTCGGTCCCGACTTCAAGCTGCACATTAGCCCATCGAATATGGCGAATCAAAATACACCGGAATACCTCGAGAAAATAAAGTAAATGAGCTCATAATCTTACATTCAGTTCTCGCAAATGCGTGACAAACAGATCGTAACTGCGTTTAATTGCAGAACAAGACTCTTTGAAAACTTGAGGATGCTACCTCATGCGCCTGGCGTACAAGTTCAGGCAATTCCAGAAGATGGTGCTGTTATCGAGGATTCGGAAGCTGAGGATAAGATTAACCCTGACGAAAGATTGCCACAACGCGACTTAGATAAAAGAATACAACATGAAAATGAGTACAGTGATAGTGAAGACGAGGGTGAAGGCGGCCGAAGAGACAACAGGTCATTCAAGGTGATTTATCAATCTCATCGAAACTAATGATTTGTATTATGCCAATTTTATATATCTACGATATCTAATTATTTCGTACACGCAATACTGTATATGTAAGTATACTGTACAGTATTGTATACGCAATAGAGATATTCTTACTTTTTTTTCTTTTATATTATAAAGGGATCTAGTCGGAAACGACCGCGCTTAGAAAAAGGTCAGGAGAGTATGGACACTGATATGAAAAAAGATGATGATCTCAAGTCGGATCCGAAAGGTAATAAAACCACGTAAAAATATCAAGATATCTTACGTTTGCATGTTAATGTGTCGACAATGCATCAACCGTGTATAATTTTCCTTTTCTTTTTTTTTTCTTTTTTTTTTTTATTTAGAAAATGAGAAAGACGAGAAGACAAATCCCACGAATGAGGAGACGAAGAAAGATGGCGGGGCGAATCCCTGATAAACGATTGTGTTCTGATGTGTCTAAGGAAATGGAAAGATGTCTTTATTTAAATTAAACATATAATCAAGTTTAAGTGATTTATGTGACAGGAGCATGTTGGTGCATAGATGTCCGCTGCCTTTACTTTGCCTCGCCATTCGAAAGATTTTTTTATCTTTACATTAAAAGAAATCCGAAAAATTTTCAGTTTCTCCGAAATAACAAATCCGTTTCTGGCAGCGTCATCATCGCCGAAATTTACACGTATGAGCGTGTATATATAGCTTAATACGCTCCACAATTTTAATCATAGACTGATAAATTCAGAAGTGTATGTGCGAATATTTTCAATTTTCGGCGCTTCGTTCAGAACGATCGATCTGCGATTGAAAATGTCGCGAGAGAAGGTGCACGGTGTCCCGATCGATTTGTCAAGATTTTATAATCTGACCGCGGTTCTTCATACATATTGTTCATTCAGCATGCATACACCCACCTCAACTAGTCATGTAAGGCAATAATTCTGAGGGATCTTTCTATATATCAGCCAATTCTAGAAGTTTATGTAAACTCGTGTCAGTTTCTCGCAGATCTTGAGATTATAAGATATTGGCGGCAATCCGTCAGGGCACCGGGCCGATTCTATTGTTCCAATGCTCCAATCAAATTTCTACAACATGCACGTATACATCATATAAGGCGGGGCATCTAAAGCTGGTACCCTCTAATATCTTCGTTGCGCACAAACGTATATATGTAAGAAATTAGCAATAACGAAAATGGACTCTCCAGAAACGGAATTTACTTCCTCGTATATTTTCGGCTTAAATTCGGTTTAAATAAGGAGCTTTCCTTATTTCTCATGTCTTGTCCACGTGACCACGCGCAACGAGTATATTTCGGACATGTTTTAAACGTCCCGCTTTGTATAACGTACGATCTGCTCGCGCTGTCAGCGTGACACACGTTGTCTTACGATTAAACGAACCATTGGCCCGTGAAACACAATGGTGCAATTTGATAGCCAAGGTTGATTCAAGGGATAACAATAATGGTTCGACGAATTCGTTTGCTTCCTATTCTTGTACATACACAACACACAAAATTAATGTTAAACGAAGCCGTTGCACGCAATAACAATACAATAGTGATGATCATCGTCATTCTCCTTGAAAGTGTAAAATATTTCGTCTTTTATACGTTATTCGAGAAAAAAAAGGGCAGTTCCTTTTTATCATTTCTCTGGTTCATCCGGCAAAGGGATTGCTGCAAACATTAGGTCTGTTTTTTTCGCTGAACTAGTGCTATAAGTGAGAAAACATATTTAGGTCTGTTCGTCTCCGCCGCATCACTGAACTAGTGCAATAAGTTGAAGTAAGGAAATATATACTTGTCTCGCTTCAACTTATTGCACTAGTTCAGCGAAAACAAACAGGCCTCTTGTCTCGCTTCAACTTATTGCACTGGTTCAGCGGTACAGCGAAAACGAACAGACGTATTGTGTTTCACTGAGATGAGATATCGATGTTGATCGATATTCACACACACTATTCATATTGGCACGCATTTTCTACCGAACTTTGTAAGATCGACCGCGAGTAAATTCCAACGTCGCTGCTATACATGAACCGGAGGGATGTTGAAAAAGAAAAATGTCCACCGGTGTTTTCGAATGATGTATATGCGAAAGATGCAAAACGATCAGCAAGTGTAAGAAAGTATGGTGAAATCAGAGCGGTGAAAAAATATATCGATTTCAAGTGTAGCTGTAGTATCTTAAGGCACATTAGGCTAGGCTCTCTAAGAGATATGAAAATTATTCTCGTGATGAGACAGATCTCCATTTCTGCAAGACAGAGACTCAAGATTGCGAGGACGACGTGGCTGTAGTTCCGCACAAAGAACGAGGTCTGCGAACGATCGCATTACCGATCTTTCTGGAGCAATTAGTTGCGCAAAACTCTGATCTGCAAGCTACGTAATTTCCTTCGTACGTATTTTCGTTCAACTTTCATTCATGCGCGAAAGCAATAAACGTGCATTGACATCACTTTATGTACATAAAATTTATCTTCTCTTCGGAGCGAACGATTCCCTCCTCCGAATTCTCTGGATCAGGTCGGACCAGCGACACGTCGATTTTACTTGTAACAACATCTGTATAATTGACCGATATCTACCTACCAACCACACACACACACACACGAAGGCAAAGACAAATTCGATATGACATTGCGTATATCCTTGAGTCGATCCGAAATATAGGTCAAATATTATATATTTATGTCCACGCGTAAGAGTACATATATATATACATATATATATCGGGACGTTTTTAAATATTTATAATAAAAAAATAAAGAAATCTATGTGTGGTAGTTGTGGGATTGACTTTCTTGCGTCGCGCGGACCCCCCGGGGTGGAAGAATCGCGAGTATTACCCCGAAGTGTCGTTAATTCGATTTTGGCTGCGCTCTTGACAAGTCATCAACAATACATATGTATGTACATATATATGTGTGTGTATACATTTTGCGATTTATTGTTACACTATTAATTCAATCCACGTTTACCGTTACTTCAGTAACGAATCGAAGTGAAATTCAAAATGGTGACAGTCACGGGAAGCCGGTAGACGTTTCGATGGTTTCTCGTCATTGGTGCCGTCCGCAACGCGCTTTATCAACAGCGTGATACATCATGTATTACTCGAGAATGATAAGGGTATTAGGATAATTGCTATTTGGCGCGTACTAATCGCAAATGCGCAACGTCAACACTCGACGAACCTAACCTCGTCGCGACTCACCGGAGGAGATTAATGCTGCGAGTACTCGCACATGGAATCACACCTTGCGCGCCAGATATGCGTTGAAAGGGTCACGCTACGTTGCTCCGCACTTTCAGTTAGTAAAACACCCCTTTATTGTTTCATTTAAGCTGAGACCGTAAACCTTTGACACGTGAATTACACTTGCAGAAGCTCGAGGGAGATGTGAAACACAGGAGGATCTCGCGTCATGCGAAACTCACAATAAAGAAGGGTCGAAGCAGGAATTACCGAGTGCAGCACATTTGAAATCCCTTCTAAAATGATCTCCCAAATGTCGCACGTGATGACCCTCGCCAACAGCATCATAGGCGTAAGCGTCCTGGCGATGCCGTTCTGCTTCAAGCAGTGCGGCATCGTACTGGCGATCTTAGTGTTATTACTGTGCAGCATCCTGTCTCGGCTCGCCTGTCACTTTCTCGTCAAGTCTGCTGTAATATCGAGGAGACGCAACTTCGAACTACTGGCTTTCCACGCATTCGGTCATATGGGAAAGTTTCTGGTAGAGCTCTTCATCATCGGCTTCCTCCTGGGCACATGCATCGCCTACTTTGTCGTAGTCGGCGATCTGGGACCACAAATAATCGGCAAGATGATGAACAAGACTCCAGGGGACATTCGCACCAGTCTGCTGATTGTCACCGGTGTCCTCATAGTTTTGCCTCTAGGATTACTTCGAAATATCGATAGTCTGTCTAGCATTTGCACAGCCACTATTGTCTTCTACCTCTGCCTTGTGCTAAAAGTATGCTACCAAAGTATATTATGCTCACACACACCATGTTAACGTTGACGTGTAAGCACTTACATGCGCTCTCCTTCGGTTAACAGGTAATGGGTGAATCGACCCAGCATATCTTCGCCGGAGACTGGTACGAGAGTATCAATTATTGGAGACCAGCAGGTATCCTGCAATGCCTACCGATATTTTCCATGGCTCTGTTCTGTCAGACACAGCTGTTCGAGATCTACGAAACCATTCCGAATGTATCGTTAGAGAAGATGAACGACGTTGTACGAGGAGCGTTAAATATATGTACCGTTGTATACATGTGCGTTGGCTTGTTCGGTTACATTGCATTCTGTACCCAATCGTTCACAGGTAATCCGGTGGGATCGTGTACACCGTAAATGCGATAAACAATTAGCTGTCGGTCGTTACCGTCGTTGTTACTGCATCACCATCTTACGTCGTTCTCACGTTGCAGGGAATATCTTGCTGAGTTTCGAGCCGAGCGTTACGTCCGAACTGATTAAGATGGGATTCGTATTCTCGGTCGCATTCAGCTTCCCTCTAGTCATTTTTCCGTGTCGCGCGAGCTTGAATTCCCTCTTGTTCCGGCGGGTACGTATATGCTTCGAGAGAAGTTCTTTATGACTGCGAGATTCTGTTTTCTGCTACTCTTGATTCTGCACCAGGTGCACACCCACGAGCCGTCTGTCAATTATCTGCCGGAATCCAGATTTCGTTGTCTCACCATCGCTGTAGTCAGTATCTCGTTGATCATCGGTATTCTGGTGCCGAACATCGAGTTCGTTCTCGGCATCGTGGGCTCCACTATCGGAGTGATGATCTGCTTGATATTCCCGGCAGTATTTTTTATATCTATAAGTAGCAAAAACACCAACGAGAGACTGTTGGCGCAGGTAAGGCCGATCTTTCAACGTCGACAATCATCTTCTCCCGACTAATTGTATTTTTTATACGAAGGGTATTTTAATCGTCGGTGTTTGGATCATGGTTCTCGGTACGTACGCGAATCTGTACGCCATGGAGGAGTCTACGAACACAAAATTGACGGTGACGAACAAGCCATTGGTTCCGGTCAATAATCTACCATTGAACGTAATGAAGGACGACTTACAGGTCATTCCAAACGCTCCCAGTAACCTGGAGCTCATTCCGAGAGTCAAAGGTACGATGGCATGCGAGTCTACCATTGTCATTATCGCGATCTGATTTCGCATTCCCGTTACAGAGAAAATAAATAAACCCGAGATGAATATCCTCGATAAAGCGTTGGACGTGAAAACGAAAGACGTTCGACAAGAGCCGCCGATACCTGTCGAACGTGTGATCGTCACCGAAAAACCGAGTGCCGAGAAGTCTGACAAGGTAGCATCCGGCAGCCTTGCGCCTGAAGTAAAAGAGGCCGGAACTGCGAAGACGTTGAACTCGGACGTCCAGTCGCAGATCGCCGATGTCGCTAAGCTCGACGAGTCCGTCGTCACGTTGAAGGCGGAAGAGAAGATCAAGATGATCGAGGAGAAAGAACGATCCGTCGACTTGCAGAAGAACGACAATCTCATCAATCTAGACGCGATAAAGAAGGAAGAGTCCGAGTTAGCTGCCGACGGGGACGTCGCTAACGCCAGGGCCGCGGAACGACATGAGCAGCTGAGGAAGACACTGGAGAAGCACAAGTTGGAGCAACGTCAGATGATGCAGGAACAGAAGGAGATATTGAAGGATATCAAGGAGCAGAAGCAGGAGTTTGAGAGGGAGAAGCAAAGAATGGCGAAGGACGACATACTCAAGAAGAGTGAAAAGAAGATTAACGCGGAGGACACCTTGCCGGAAAGCGGCAGGAGGGTCGCGGAGACCAACGAAGTCAACATCGACAAGAGCAGGCGTAACAAGGAAGTTTTGGAAAATAAAGAGCGGGATGTGGCGGACAAGGTGAAATCAAGCGAAAAGCTGCGTACGCCGGACGAGGCGAACGACGTGAACGTTGCGCCCGAGAAAAAGTCGGATGCGCTCCTGGAAGTCTCTCGGAACGTAATTGCGGAAAAGACGCAAGAATCGCGGGCGGATGCCGCGGTGGACAGATCTCTTCCCGCTGACAAAGAGGCGGTCGATCTGGAAGCACCCAAGAGACCATCGATATATAAAAAATCGTCGATACATAACGACGAGATGAAGGCAGGCAGGATAGAATTTAACGACTCGGAGAGCATGAAAGGTCCCGTTCTGAACGTTTTGTCGAAGGGGGCTCTGCAGAAATCCATTGTGGAAGAGGGACTCGCGAAGGAGATCGACGATCGTCAGATGAAAGAGGAGAAGAGAGAAATCCTCACGAACGAAGTTATCAACGCGTCGGACAAGCAGCAAGAACACTACGACGACTCTCGCTTTTCCGTGCCTATAGCGCTGAAAATGAGCAATCAGTCGAGGTCCTACAACGTGATCGCATCGTCGCCGAACAAAAGTGAGCCTCAGGCAATGCTCAGGGATATTCTGGAGAATAACGAGCGTGAGAAGAGGGACGTTGGCGCGGAGATGAATGCGAGCGACGCGCGAGTCGGTGACGATCGTTTGGCCGAGAGATCCGAGTCGTTGCTGAAAGATGACGGAGATCGGGACACCTGCACGAAGTTACGGGCAAGTTCCGAGAAGCCAGAGGCGGAAAAGGAGTCTGAAGAGGGAGCGTTTAAACCTAGCACAACCGTGGAAGCGCTCTTGATTAAGACAAACGTATACTTGTCCGAACAAGCAGTGACGAAGATGATCCCGATGCGGGTTGCGTTGGACACGGAGTACATGAGTATGAAACAAAGAGATTTGAAAGCTTTGAACTCCAAGGACAATACGGAGATATAGATATCCTGTGGACGAAGACGACACAATTCCTCTACAGCATAATATTAGATGAATTTATTTATGATGCAGGGATCGGTCGATCGCTGGTCTTCTCTACCAATCGTGTTATATAGCTTATTTATGTGTTTAACAATTAGAGCATGAAAATTGCTTTTGAATTTAACGTGATGAATTGTCATCAGAATTGTGCGATGTTTTAGAACACAGATTTACAATATACTTTACGATATGTCCACCAACTTATGAAAGAATATGTGCTGTATGAATGCGGATTTATTTATAATATTAGGTTGATTAAAATCTATTTTTCTTTCCCGTACTAATCACTTTTCTTCGTTTTATCTATTGATAGAACGTAGAAAAATGAACCTTCTTGATCAATCTAATATTCTAATCATATCTAATAATGTGCGTGTGCTCTTATATAGATTACCTCTCTATGACGTCGTGATTGTAAAAAGAGAATACAGGTATTCGTACGAAGAAATCTAGATAAGGTCAAATACAAAATGTATTTTTACACCGCAGTTCGTGTCAGTCAAATTTTGTCACCTATCGTCCGACTTTCCAAAATACAACATCCAGCTCAACGAGACTTCAATCTCGTTTGATAAATAAAAATTCCCGTTTGTAATTAGCGCGTATAATTACACTACTGATGAAACAATTTTAATATTTCAATATATATACATGTTGCATCATATTCGATGATGTATTCGATATAACTCAGGAAGTCATCGGCTCCGGCTTGGGTTCTGTCATCTCTATGTCTCTGCATTTCGCATGTTGTAACTCTCTCCTTATTTCAGGAGTAATCGAATAATGTGACTGTTTCCTCAGTAAACCCAGCAGAGCCTCCTTTTGCTCGGAACTTATATCACTCTTGTATCGTTGTACGAAGGTCAAGAGGGCTTGATGCCATAATACCGGCAATTCTCTCGTCTCTCGTTCGAACCTGGTGAATTATATTCAATATAAGAAACAAGCGATAAAAAGCTCTCTTATGGCGTAAAGATCGCCGTTGCGCATCGTACAACTTACCTGAGAAAATGAAACAATATTCCGTCCACTACCCTGTATGGAAGAGCGTATTTCTTATCCAAAAATATCCTGAGAAAGATGCTGTTCGCACCTGTGTAATCCATTTCCGCAATTTTCAGTATGGCCGCTGAGGAGTGCAGAATCGGTATGGAATTCTTCGCGATCACAGACCCGATGATCACGGCCTCCCTGAGCGTGCATGTGCCAGATTCTAAGAGCGGCAGCAGAATTCCCTTCATGAATCCAGCCGGCTTGAAGAGCGCTTTCCTCAGTGCCTGGTACAGGTGAAAGTTCAATCTTTTGTATTCCGCTAAGTCGTCCCTGATTCGCGGCAGCAGGACCAAGTTGTAGAACCTCTGGGCCATCTTGTCTTTCAGGTTCGAAGCGAATATCCTGGTCGCTTGGTACATAGCAGCTGCGGACCATCGTGGTGGGTCTGTGATGTATAGTATCTGCTCCCAGTTCCTCAGACTGGGCACGATCTTGAAGGCCTTTGGCAGTTTGCCGCTACGATACTTCACCAGGACGTCCCTAACACCCTCGTACATCGCTTTGACCCGTGGATCCAGATCCTGTATATGTACAGTGCCGGCATCTGAGAACTGAGTCTCGATCTCTGTTTTCTTCTCCGTCAGCTTTTCCAGTATTATGTCCGCCAGTGTCCTTGTAGGCATCGGGTCTTTGGACATGAACATCTGCAGCGCGCGTTCATCTTCCTCGTTTATCTCTATGTTCTCGTAGAAGGGAATGCTCTCTACTTTCTCCTCATCACTGGACTCCTCCACATCACTGAAGTCAGCACCTAGTTGTATTGTCGGTTTCTTCACGCTCTTAGGATCGTTCAAGCCGATCTCCTCCTCGATCTCTTGCTGCTGTTGTCTGGCTTGCGAGAGGATTTTCTTCGTCAGTGTAGGAGCTATATACTGAATGAGAAATAATTGCACAAATGTATTCCTTGATATAATGCGTCGCTATTTAAATTATTATTATTGGTTTGCGTATCGATTGGTTGTTAAAACTAATAAAATTAATTTCTCTTTCAGATTCTGAGATATACAAGATAATACAAGGGATGAGAACTAACCTCTTCGTCTTCCTCGGTTCGATGCCTGACCTTTTGCCTGTTTTTCGACTTTGTCGTTTTTTCGATTTCTATTTGTTCCGCCAGGCCTACTTTAGCCTCGCCTTTTGACACTTTGACTTTCTTCGCTTTACCCATTTTATCAGCACTATCAAACAATATTTTCAATCAACAAACCCGCATATCCACGTGCTCACGAACAGAGGCGCTTGAAATGTCTATATATCTATCCATACGCAATATGCGAATTTTGGGCGGTGCTCTCATTGGTGTTAGTATAGGCGTAATCCGCGTGGCGCTGCTTGACTACTTTGAATGTAAGTTCACGCATCTACTTGTTATATGAGTATGGTTGTGTAATTTACGCGGGAAAAATAGCCAAACACAGAAGATTGTCATTCGACCGATTAATATTTGTCGAAGAATAAATACGAACGAGAGGACAATATCGGGCAAGAGTGTTTATATCTAAATTCGTTAAAAAATGGCGAACAAAGTATCGAGAGATTATATTAAAGACAGGGGTAATTATTTTTTTTAGTTCTTCACGTCCATATAACCATATAAAATTTTTGTTGAATGCTTATGAAGGCAAATGTTTAAAATACATTATATACTATTTAATATGTCAATGAGGACACGTTCATCAAAGTGATATGAAATGTAACATTTTGATATATTTCTAAATATTTACCATCATGAAAAAATTCTTATTTGTCCAGTTAGTCTTTCTTTCATGGTGATTATTCTTAATAATTTATCTGAATACTGTGAGCTAATTTGTAATAAAAAAATATTTCAGAGCAATTGAAGACTTTCTTTCTGGAGTTTGTTTCAATGGATGACAATACTTCACACAAAAATTTTAAGTACAGACAACAACTCACCAAGATAGCACACAGAGAACAGATTAGTTTAGAAGTTGATTTAGATGATGTGCAAACATTTGATGATGACTTAGCCATATCTATCACAAACAACACACGGAGATATACCAATTTAATTTTAGATGTGTGTACAGAAGTTGATTATTGCACTTAAAAATTTTAATTTAACACAGAATAAATTATACAAATTCTCAACTAACATATATGGCAAAATAAATGTATATATTCTACAATAATGTAACAATAATCAAGTTTTTCTCTTATATAGCTAGTTCAAGAGATATTACCCGACTTCAAAGAGAAAACCGTTTTACCTAAAGATTCTTTGGACATTTATATGGAGCATCGAGCACTAATGCAAACTCGCAACAGACAACCGGGTGACACTCATGACACTAGAGTACAATATGCTCCTGAATTAATGCGTCGTTTGTAAGAAAATTTAATTAATGGCTTATAAATATTTGTTAGACGAAACAAAATAGAAATTTATAAAGGTATTTACGGCTTTTAGTGAAGTATATTTTAAAGATTTTTCTGACTCAAAAGCATATTCCGTGAGGGATATTAAAGCAGACAAGATTGGAAAATTGGTGACGGTTAGAGGTATTGTTACGAAAACTACTGAGGTAAAGCCAATGATCGTTGTGGCAACGTACACATGCGACGAATGCGGTTCAGAAGTGAGCCAGCCTGTGAGTAAACTGAATTTAGATTTCATCGTATTTTCATATCTTTAACACAATTCTCTCTAACCCTTCTCATTGTTTTATATAAAAGGGTATTAATTTAAATTTCTATATAACTTATCATTATAGGTACAATCTTTAAGTTTTATGCCATTGCGGACTTGTCCGAGTGACGGATGCCGCGTGAATAAATCAGGTGGCAGGCTATACATGCAAACGAAGGGCTCGAAATTTATTAAGTTTCAGGAAATGAAGCTGCAAGAACATGTAAGCTTGTGAATGTTAGGTTTTTTAAAATTCAAACAGTTATTAATATTCGTATTTCACAGAGTGAACAAGTCCCGGTTGGTCATATACCACGATCCTTAACTATCTTCTGCAGAGGCGAGACAACGAGAAATTGTATGCCGGGTGATCATGTCATTGTGACCGGCGTGTTCTTGCCCTTCGTGAAGACCGGTTACAATGCTAGATCTGGACCGGCGCTTTCCAGCGAAACTTATTTGGACGCACATGTAAGAATAAACATATTAATTTTACGATCACAATCGTAAATTGATTAACGTGACGTAAATCTTTTGCTCTGTTTCAGAAAATAATATGTCTGAATAATGCTGACTCGACAGACGACAGCAGTGCCGAATTGACCGATGAAGAACTGAGTTTACTGATGCAGAGTGACTTCTACAGCAAGTTGGCTTGTTCTTTGGCTCCCGAAATTTACGGGCTCGAGGATGTGAAGAAGGTATTGCTGTTGTTGCTCGTTGGCGGAACGGATAAAAAAAAAGGCGACATTAAGATCCGAGGTAAAGATATATATCAGTTCTGTTAATAAATATTTTTATGTCAAACTCGTAATTTATATATGTACAATATTTGTTATCTTTACATTATCTTAAAATATGACGTTTTGTACTTCACGCGTCTATCTTTGTTCTATTGTTACAAACAGATTTGACAAAATAATATATGAATTCTTCAAAATAATAACTGAACTGAAACATTACTCGTAGGCAATATTAATATCTGTTTGATGGGAGATCCCGGTGTGGCCAAGTCGCAATTGTTATCCTATATCACACGATTGGCTCCAAGATCACAATACACCACTGGAAGGGGATCGTCGGGCGTAGGTTTGACCGCTGCAATTATGAAAGATCCTCTGACCGGTCAGATGGTGCTGGAGGGTGGTGCTTTAGTATTGGCGGATCAAGGAGTATGTTGCATCGACGAATTCGACAAAATGGCGGACGCGGACAGAACAGCGATCCACGAGGTGATGGAGCAACAGACTATATCGATCGCTAAAGCCGGTATAATGGCCCGTTTGAATGCCAGAGTCTCCATATTAGCCGCTGCCAATCCGGCTTACGGCAGATACAATCCGCAGAGGTCAATCGAGCAAAATATTCAATTGCCCGCCGCGTTATTATCGCGATTTGACCTATTATGGCTCATTCAGGACCGCGCAGATCGAAGTAACGATCTCAAGTAGGTATCGGCTCAGCAAGTTGCTCCTTTTCGATATATTCCGCGTAAATCGCTTATCTCTAATTTCATATAATTATCTCGTGATCTTTTTATTTATATTTACGTAATGTTTACGTGTGCTAATAAATTTATACAAACGTTCTATTGTAGACTAGCACAGCACATCACTTATGTCCACCAGCATTGCTCGCAACCTCCGACAGAGACGGAGGCTATCGACATGAAATTGATTAGAAAATATATAAATCTATGCAAAATGAAGGAACCTACCGTATCGGAGGAGTTAACGGAATATATTGTGGGTATGTATATACAAAAGTAATATTTCATATTTGTATCGTTTCAACATATAATTGTACAAACTATTGCGTCAAGTCCCAAGGTTATTTATTGCCGTATTTGTGCATATTCGGATATTTTGCAAAATTATACCGTTGCAGATTCTTACGTGGAAATGCGAAAAGAAGCGCGCAATAGCCACGATAAAACATTCACGTCCGCCCGTAACTTGCTGGCTGTTCTCCGGCTGTCGACTGCGTTGGCACGACTGCGACTGGCGGACGTGGTCGAGAAGGACGATGTCGCGGAAGCGAACAGACTGATCGAGATGTCGAAACATTCCATCAATTTTTCCGAACAACGTACGAATACACAACAGAATCCGACCAATAGAATTTTCCATTTGATACGGGAGCTCGCCGGCGATAAGAAGACGGTCAAGGTATCCGACATCTTGGAGCGATGCACGAGCAAAGGGTTCAAACCTGATCCCGTGTACAAGTGCATTGAAGAGTACGAAGCGTTGAACGTGTGGCAGGTCAATCAGACCAGAAGATTGATTACTTTCATCTAATTTTTTACCACAAAAATCGTCGCTTCTAATATTTTTTATACCTAAAAAGGCATTATGCTCTGCGGCGATGAGAGGTTTGCATTTTTCTATTTAACGTTTTCCCCTCAATATATATTTATTATAATTACATTAAATTAAAAATGTTCCAAACATACGCGTTAAAATTACTTCGACATGAGATTAGTTAGTCGCACCACGCCACCTATATCATACCAAATGTCCGTGCAAATGCATTGAGTCTGCATTAGTCATCACTTACGCTTGTTTTACGTGAAATACTTCGATTAAAATTAGGACTAAATCTAAAATAGTGGAGTCATATGATACGTATGACGCTTATAATCGCATTTTTTTTTCTCCAAGCTCAAATCTGAATACCTCACATGAGACGCGTCTCGAATAACGATTATTAATATGGACTTCAACCCTGTCATACGTTCGTGACGTCTTGTAATATGGATAAAATAGATCTTTTCTAGGTATAGTATCCTCTAATAATAAGAAATACAGGCGGTAAGGAAGATTGTGAACCGGATAACTTGTGCGAACACTTGCGTTATCGACGACGCGCGAAGCTCACGCGAGACGAGGGCGCGTGCCGCGAGAGGTCGCGGCGCTCTGTTCCGAACATCGCCGCGCTTCGGGCCACGAGCGGGCATGCGCGCCACCGGCCGAGTTGAACCGTTTTTCGCTCGCGTCAATTTCAGTCTCGTCGAGTCACTACTCGTGGAAGGTAGACGTGTCCCGCGCTCTCGTCTCGCTCCGTTCGCTCTCGCGAGTCCGTGCGTGCGTGCGCCCGTCAGTCAGTCAGTCAGTCAGTCGCGCGTGTGTATACACGCATACACACGCGGAAAACACATATGTGTATCTTACACTGTGATACGAACCAAGTGGTCGAGCGTGCATGTGCCGGGAGCGCTGTTGGATATACGTGATCGCCTGGACTCGTCGCGATCGCCGTCTTTGACCTCTCTCCTTTCCACTCCTCCTCTTCTTTCACCTCCTCCCCCTCGCACCAAATGTTCGCGCCGCATGCCCCGAGTGCTCGCAGCAATACCGCCGCTCGTTTTCGCCGTCGCCGTCGTGCCGTCTGACGGCGCGTCCGCCGTCGTTCGGGGAACGATCATCGCGTTCCGATACGGTGGATGACTCCACGAACGATCGGTCCTAATCCGTAGAAGACGAAGAGGCTGCCAACGGAACGGGCAAAGAGAGGAACGCGAGGGCCACTGCCGAGAGAGGGAGAGAGAGAGAGAGAGAGAGAGAAAAAAAACACACGATTCCTCGCGAATATCTCTCCGCTGCCGATTTCTCGTGCGCGCGGTTTCTCCCCAGGATCTCTCCTCTCCTCTCTTCCTCCGGCCGTCCGTCGCGCCGGGGCCATTTTGCCGAAATGAAAATAACACCGCGAGCCGCGCTCTCCGCGCCGGTCCTGCTCGCGATCGTCCTCCTCGTGGTGTGCGATTATATTCGCCCGGCGTACGCGAGATCGTCCCTCCGCGTACGCTCCGTCGGCAACAACACCGACTTCCTCGTCGCCGTCACCACTGCGGACTGCGAACGGGTCAGGCCGTTCTTCGACAGCAAGAACGTCACCCTCGCGCCGGCCGATGAGACCGCGAGGAATCCTCCAAAGAGTAAGTTCTCCGAGCGACGTCCGTTTCGCGACGTCGTCGGTGACAGGTGTCTCGTAACTGCATTCTCATGATTTCTTAACCTCTCGTTATTTTCGTCAACTTCCGATGATTTCTGATCGAGTGAATAATCGCTCGGCGCGTTTTGTCTGATACTTTGTTCCGATTACATTTGAAAGATGGGTAACGGAGAAAAAAAGACGGCGACGCAAAGTATTCCTTCCGAGAAGTTGCCAGTTTTGCAGTTATGACGCTTTTTATCGATGATGTCAATTTGAGGTCATTAACGTCAGAGACTGTCGCATTTGCGAGTAAACATTCGCGGTGAAACGGTCGGGTAACAACGTAAACATTAACCTCGTCAACTTTCACACCCCGGACCATTGACGTTTTCGAGATAAATTTTCATTCTGAATGCCTCGAATTTCCCAACGAGAATAACAAGCGTTTTCTCGTACAGCTACGATTAACCGAACGACGTTCACCTTCGATCAAGATTGAACAACCCTTCCCCGGCTCGCACATTCGACAGCGACGTTCGACAAACGAACTGTTATGTTGACGGCAAATGTGACAGTTCTCTCAAACTGACCCTCGACCTCGGGAGAGAAAGAGGCAGGTACGGGAATAGAACCGGCGATTCTCTCCGAGCGAACGAAACGCGTGCGAAACGAACCGCGCGCGACTAAAAAATACGACGAGTATTTTTTGCGTTCGGCAGTTCGAATCGCGCAGTCGAGAATAAAAGCGGGCCGAGTCGATATGTAATGCGAGGAGAGCGAAGTAAAAGTTTCCGTGTTTGCGTAGAAAAGTTGTGTTTCCTGCGCGTACTCGGCGGGAGATTTACCGAAAGCGGACTTGATCCATCTTTATTTTCGCCGCTGCGTCAACGCGTAATTCAGTCGGTTGAACTTGTTGGTACTCGTCGGAACACGACTGACCGTCAGTTCTGTTCTCGTNTCTTTTTTCTCTCTCTTTTCCTACCCCCCCCCCCCCCTCTCTCTTTTGGCATCAGATTCTTCGTAGAATTTATCAGACAGTATTATACAGGCACTTGAATTTGACTCGACCGAATACGAGATTTTCCATTATCGTATCGTGCTGCTCGTTCATTTGCATATTCGGGAGAGCGAAGTGTTCGATAAAATGGAATTCTTCCGAGAACTATAGCCCGTCTCGCGCGATTGATTCCAACCAGAGGGTGGTGAGACTTCTCCGGGAAAGGGGGAAAATTTAACGCGCGTCTCTCAAGGGATTCTTCCTCGGATATCGACCGAAATTGATCCTCCCTAATAATTATGCGCGCACTACGCGATATCTCCGGTGGCGCGTTTTATCTTTCCGCGATTTTTTTCTCTGTTCGCGCGTCTACGTGTTCGTCGCGTTCATTCGCCTACGTTGTTGTTAATCTTGATTTATGACGCTTCTCGGAACTTTGAAGCTATTAATCCTATTGGCTAATACGATCACGACGCACATTGCGTAACGCGTGTCCGTTTCTTTCTTCGTCAGTGTGACAGTTATTCGTCGCTCACGAACCGCGACAACTTATTTTTAACGACGTAAAAATAAGGAGAACGCATGTGCGCGTTATTGTTGGTCCCGATGAACCGTAATGACCGTGTCCCCTTTCGCACGAAAGAAAAATAGAGAAAAATCGAAAAATAAAGTTCTCGTAGCCGCGAGCGACATATTGCAGATATTTGTTTTATTTATATTTTTTATTCTCTCGGCATTTAATTTTCTATCTCTTTCTCTCGCTCCAGTTCCCGTGTGTTTGCATTTTTCATACTCGTTTATTTATATTTACTTTTTTTTCGCACTATATACATAATATAAATATATAATCTGTCTATAAATAAGTAATATACAACCCCTCCCCCGGTCTCTTTAAATTCGAAGCAACGTACGAAACCGGTTTGCCCGCCGGCGAAGAGGAATGCGCGTCATCCGCAGGATTTCGATCGATCGCGACGGCATTATTTTCCGATCCCAGTTGGAATTATCGCGCATAACGTTGTTATTACCGCGTACTGTCCCCCCGCCGAACACGATCATTAGCGTAATGCACTAAACGCGCGCTCGATAACTTATATTTACCCGACGAGCTCGCGCGTGTAAAAAAAATTTCAACGAAGCAGAACGAAGACGAGCGCTTGAAATGTCGAGACCGATCGCAGGCTGGCGCGCATAATTCCGCACGGGATTTCGTGGAAAATCCGTGCGAGATATACACACGGGCGAAAAATTGTGCGCGCGCGGATGATGAAATTCGATTAATTTGATAGAATGAAATATTAGAGGGGAGGGAGTAAAACAATTCGGCGCGATACAATTTCCGTTTGATCGAATTACCGAAATCTACGATCGGATTTTAATCACGTTAGTCTTTTACAGGCGAAACTCGTAATTTTCGCGCAAAAATAGGTCAGAGATATCCGGAGGCGCGAGCGAACGAACGAGCGTGCGAATTTATGCGGCTTAATGTACAATTTATATCCCCTCGCGCTCTCTTCAATTTGATTTAACTCGAGTCGAATAAAAGGGGAATGCGCGCGCCTTCGACTGCCGTTTTCGTGTGTGTGCGCGCGCCTGTCGTGCAGTAACGCGAAATACCATTTTTTTCTCTTTTCTCTCATCTCTCTTTCTTTTTTGTCCAGCAATATGTGGCGGCAAATGTTGCAGCGACGAAATGGAGAAGCGATTGAAGCAACAAGCCCGGACGGATTTTCACAATCTGATTCATCATCACAGTAGGACTCTGCAGGGTCTCCTCGTCACCACCGCCGATTCTCTCAGAGGTAAGAGACCTTTCCCGTAACTTCTTAATGCGTTCCGCCGCTAAAATCGCCGAGGGAGCGTCTCCCGCACAAACACGCGCGCAAACATAAATAAATGAGCAGATAAATGCGTGAAGAACTTACAACGACGCGTTTGATATCTTTCGTTCCTCTTCCTTCTCGCTGGTGGATATAAATGTTTGATACACATCTCGACGATTTGTGGTCGATTCTGTCAGCGCTCCTATGAATAATTTAAGCGATTTCTCGTTGCTACTTTAGTCGTGTAATAATAGTTACGATGATAATGGACGGTTCTGTTAATTAAAATCGATCGAATGCTAATAGATATCGCCGGGAAAAACGGTCCTCTTAATATATAGCATTTGCATCTCGTGTCTCTTACAGCGGATTTTTCACGTGAAAATTTAGTAATAGATAACTCCCGATTGGCATCGAACGCGTTCATCATTCGGTGCGATGCCCGAATTTTCAATCAACACCGCGAAGAATCATCTCGACGGCGTTACCGTCGAGAGCTCGCGAATCGCGGGATACGAATAAACGAAACAAATTTGTGTATTGCATACGACATACTCGTGTATAGCGAACGAAATTGCATTACGAATACTATCTCAGAGGTGTGCGCAGTGCATGTACGCGCGCGAACAAGAGAGAGATGCCGTAATCGCTGAATCACTGAAATTATCGGATTATCCCGAGGAAGGGTCGCAGATTGAGAAAATCTTCTAAAACGCACACCGTCGAAACTATAATAGCGCTCAGATGTGGCATCCGCCGGCGAAAATCTGTTCAATTCAGCCAGAGTTTATCCTTCTTCTCGTGAATATATAATTCTGCCGTTTTATCTTCAGAATTCGAATTATACGCTCGGAGCCTCCGGAGTGGTCAAAGATTTGCAGATTTATATCGCTCAAAGCGCGACGAAAGGAAGGGGGCGTTTCGCTCTCTTTCTTTTCTCTTTCTCTTCGCCTTGAAAAGAACCTTTCTGTTTTCCCTGTCGTTCGGGCGGTCGAAAAAGAAAGAGAGAGAGAGAGAAGAAGAGGTAGCGCGGTCTCCAAAAGAACTGACAATTATCGTGGATGATTTCGGACAAACTCGAGAAATCTCTGCGGGACTCCTTCGAAACCTCGCCCAAGGAAGAACGGAGAATCGTCGGCTCGGCATCGTGCCGCCTTATACGGGGCCAAGAACCCCGCCATCTCTCCCCTCTCTCTTTCTCTCTCCGTTTCTCTCTTCTTTCTCCTCTCATACGATCTATCTGCTTAATTCCCGTATCTGGACGGTGCCTCACTCATAAGAGGCCGCGACGAACGTGTCACTTCTTACTTCAAGCACTCGGCGAGAATCCGGATTCGCATTCACGAGGTATCGACGTGATATTAAACGTCAATCGCACACGGGATTGCTTTGCATTGCGTTATCTCTATCGAGACTATGGACTCCGCAGACGTTTCAAAGTGTATCAGTTCGGTATCCGGCCTGGATCCTTCAATTTTCGGTATCGCGAAACTCGCGCTGGAACGATCGACAGCATCTTCCGCCTATCCCCACGGCATTCGCGAAATAATTACTCCGGAAAATTACTCAGTCGCGCGCGATTCTTTAGTCATCCTCTCGGTGTTCCTTATACCGATTATTTATACCGGTGTACGCGAACGTACGAACTGCGACAGTAACGGAAAACGAGGCAAGACCGAAGAAGATAGCCGGCGCGGAAACGCGAGAAGAGGAGAGAGAGAGAGACGAGGCGCGTGTTCGCGCGCGTGTCGTTGCCTCGGTAACGCGGCGTCTAGAATTCACGAGCGCAGGCCGCGACCGCTCTCGCTCCCAGCTATTTTCGATACCGCGAAAAATGTACTTCCTCTCAGCCGCGCGCGCACGAAGTGTTTATATCCTCGCGTACGAGAGAGAGAGAAAAGTGAGCACGCTGAGCCGCGTGCCTCGTCGGCACATTTTTCACCCTCGCCCGAAATTAAGCCCTCTCGTTCTCCCACCACCCTCCTCTCAACCGACCTTCGTTTATCGGTCGCTATCCGGTACCACGCGAACTCGCGCGTGTATATTTCAGGAATCCTGAAACGAGATAATTAACCTGTAAACCGTGGAACGTCTTTTCGGTCACGCGACTTGGAACGCGAGAGTTATTTTCTATCCGGTAATGAGATGTAAAAGCGGATCGCTTCAGTAAAATGTGAGTATCAAGAGAACCGGAAAGGGAGAGGGAGAATATACGCGACTTGTATTCCTACGTAACGAGTCGAGTATTTTTCGACGGTTTTCCGGTTGGAATGATTTCGTTTTGTCCGTCAGTTATATTACTTACGCTCGAATGGCTTGCGACACCTCGCGATACTTTGAGCAGAAAGACGATCGGAGCTGCACACGGAGGTATTGTACTTTGCTCATGATTGAAGTGGACCGCCACGACCGTTCGATTTGTCGCGTAACGACGACGGTAAATCAATTCCGAAAGAGGCCCATAATCGAGTTCGAAGGCGGGATTACACGAACACGTGGAATTGCGGTCTGAAAGAGGCGGTATTCGTACATGTCAGAATGGGCGAAAGAAGAAGACGATCGTTGCCGGATTTAGTTGCCTCTGTACGCGGCGTCCGCGGAATCTCGGTAATTGAAGGAAAACAAATCCGAGCAGTTGCGATACGCCGCCTTTGAAGTCTCAATTAACGCGGGCATGATTCGCCTCGACAAATAACGTTTCACATGGGTAAAGTACCAAGGCCTTCCTATCGAAACGAGGAAGGAGGGGGAGAGAGGGAGGGAGCGCGACCGAACGATGACGACGACAACGGCTGCGAGAGATCGCGACGCGTATTTTTACATGCTCTTAATTTTAGTCGTGTCAACCGAAGCATGTCCACTTAAAAATAAATTATACTCCGCGTTGCGATCCGCAGTGCGGTGGGAACGCGACTTTCGTCCGCGTAGCGTGATCCCGGCGCGTGGTGTCGCAAATCAGCGATCGGAGAAACCGGTATAATTTCGCCGGGTCCGAACTTCAACTGGCGACACANCCCCCCCCCCTTCCTACCCTCATCTTTCGCAAGCGAGAGAAGCGGTCGAGAAACGTGCGATTAAAATCGAACACGAAGCGACCGAGCGTAGTTCTTGGAGTGTTTATCTCCGTAATGAGATTTCCATGATGAAATAATTATATAACGAAGCCGGAGACGATCGACGCCCCGTGTACTTTTATATTCGATATAAAAACGCGGAGATCTTTAAACTCTCTCGCTTCTGCCGTTCCACGGTCGTTTTGCCACTTCCCTTAATAGGATCGTTAGAACCGCAAGGTGCCGCGTTCGCGCTTCGAGGGCGAAGAAGCGTGTAGATGCTCGTCGGAGGCACTTGAGACTGAAGCGGGGAATCGAGAAGCACTTATCGTCCATCTCCTCCGTTTTACGCGTTCACGATTAAGCGCCCGCGAAAGTACGTCCGTTCTTAGGAGCCGTCGTGAGTACGCGCTCTTCTCCCGACACTCGCGAAATCTCGAGTGGTCGCGTTTGCGCGATGAATTGCTTCGCCGGGTTAGATTAGAGAAAATAAAAGACCACGTGAGAGAAAGAGGGAAAGTGAGAGGCTGGGGGGAGAAAGAGCGAAAACGCGAGGATAAACCACTGGGAAATTCCATATAAGCGAGGTGGAAACTCGGCACTGATATCCCCCGCTCGTCTGTGCCTTTTCACCCTGAGCAATTTTTTCTAATACAGATAAAAGTGACTTACTTCGTAACAAAGATGAATATTCCGGAGAGAAAAGTAATGATAACGCCTCGGGTCTCCCCCCTCCTCTCTCTCTCTCTCTACCTGGAAATTACTGCACCCGTCATTTTCGACGTCTTCATGTAATACGTTATCTATCGTACGACGACGAGTTCGACATACCGATCAGCTATCGGACGGGAAATTTCTAGAATACCGGAGAAATTTATCACACGATGCGTGAAAGTATTAACTTGAAGTCGACGGCAGTGTGCGGGAATTGCCGATAAACAGTGAAATTTCACAAAATTCCGCATTCAAAAATTCCGTTATTGAGCGAATTTCACAGTCGACAAGATACTTCGCGCGCGCAACAATGAAATGTTAGGAAGAGACATCATATCAGATCCTTCGGAATTCGATATCGCGATATGTCGCGGTAACGCGAGCAAGAATGCGCGCGTATTCTCCCGAGTCGTTGGCAGGAGAGTTAAGGATATTCTTCACCGTCTTCGTAGATTCGGTGACCGACCTGGCGCGACAGTCGGAGAACACGACTCTGGTCATGTTCCACAAGGCGTACAGCTCGATGGAAGAGACCAACAGGCCGTCGGTCTCTCTCGTCAAGGCGCTCTATCAGATGATCGTGGACTACGTGTCGCCCTCGAACACGCCGGACACCCTGCAGCAACCGCTGAGCCGGGAGATGTTGCAGGAGCACATACTCGACTTCTTCACGCGGCTATTCCCGATCGTCTACGTGAAACTCATCAATCCGCAGCAGCACCAGCAGGATCAGCAGGAATTTGCAAACAAATTCCAAGCCTGCCTGCTCGAAGCAGTGGGCGATATACAGCCATTCGGCGATATACCGCAGGAAATTTCGCTCGCGGTCAGCAAGAGCCTGGAGGCCACCAGGGTATTGGTGCAGGCACTCACGCTCGGCAAGACCGTTCTCGAGCGAACCGACAGCGTGCTCTTCGGTCCCGGGGCCCGCAGTCCTCAGCAAGAAGCCTGCAACGTCGCCATGCTCAGGATGACCTACTGTCCCAAGTGCAAAGGTTTCGGCAACGCCGTCATGCCCTGCAACGGATTCTGCATCAACGTGATGAGGTGAGTGACGTTTACGAAAGGTTAATCGGGACTGAAGTATCTCCCCCGACGCGTGTCGAGAGCTTGTTCTTCGCGACGAATCGTGTTTCCGATTGACGTGTAAACGGGCGAATCGACAAATTGATTGTTACAATTAAAGGGCGGAGAGTGGACTCGAGTTCTCTCGGCAATAGCGCTCTCGTCATTCTCGTTACTGCGAATATTTCACGATTAATTTGACGATCGGTACACACGCGCGTTTGTTTGTTCCTCCATGATCTTACGGTGCGAGAAAGATTTGCAACCGTCACGGTCAAACGGCAATCACGGCGGTTATTCGCGACTGCGAAGCTGCGACCCCGCGTTCTCGCGTGCGCACCGATCGAACGTCGTCTTGTATGAGAGAGAGAGAAAGGCATCGGCAGAAAAATGCAAATAAACGTTGCAGGGGCTGCCTGACCGAGCCAGCGTCCGAACTGGATCTCGCATGGTCCGGTTACGTGGAGACGGTCGAGAGGCTCGTCGTTGCGGTGGACGGTCATAACGATCCTCTGGGTTTGAACACGGTGAACGCCGTCAAGCAGTTGGGTACCCGCATTTCGGATGCCATTTTGCGCTCGTTGGAGAACGGGCCGAGAATCGTGGAGAAGGTGAGTACAGTCCCGGGGGACTCCCCGGATTTATGCCGTTTACATATACAGGGTGGTCCGTTTGCTCGTTTCGCCCGCTCGCATGATACCGCGGTAAAATTTTAACGGAGGTCCTCGGCTTTTCCCATTTGGGAATCGATCTTTCCCTCCGTCGAGATATCAACACGTTGATCGCCACCGTTGATTCGCATGAATGATTTCAATGCTCAACTCGAGTTTCAAGGTTGCCCCCAAGATACGATAAATGAATGCAATTCACGATGCATATTCACTAGCTCGTATCATCGGGGCTCCCTATTGGCTACACATATTTAATTTATTACGCGCAATTGATTGCGTTTTATACGTAAATTAGTGAGATAGAGCCCCGGTCATTGGTAACTCCGTCTATGACAGTGTTGATAGACCTCGCTCGCAAATTAGGTCTTCATTCTTCGGAGCTTGGAGAGTTGGAAGCTTCGACACTCTTCGCGCTCGCTCGTTCGTCGTGCCGCGCGACCTTATTTCGTTCTGGTTACCCTCCTCAAGACAATTCCGCGCGATGCACACGCATATCAAGGGAGCGTGAGTTATACACCCGTCCGCACCAGCCGCCCTCTCTCGCGCCGTCCCCCTCCCTCTCCCACCTACCTACCAAACTACCTACCTACCACATTTCTCGTCCCTTCGTTCCGGTTCTCGACCCCGTCCCGGCGAAATGGGCCGCTGGCGCGCGCGCGGAACGCAATTAAAAGTTTCTCACACGGGCGTCCGCTCCATGCCGCGCGACGACAGAATCGATCCCTCGTTTGGAAGCCAGATTCCCGTCTCACCGTCCGCGACTCTCTTCCCGTGCCGGAATCGATTTGCGGTTGTATCTTGTTCCCGGTCACCTCGTTTCGCCTTAACTAACGAGAACGGTCCCGCGCGATCCGCCCGGCGCGCTTTAAACTACGCCGATCTGCGGTCTGCACTCGACGTTGCCTCGTGACTTCGTGGCTCGGCCATGAGTATATTCGAAACACACAAATCAAAGTTGAAGTCGAATCTACAATCCTGTAAATGTACATTTTGCGGATACAAGACGTTGGAGAGAGAAGAGACTGTGACCGTGGATATCTCGTGTAACACGATGTTCTCGCTCACCGAGATAGTAAATCCTTCTGGTGCTCTAATATAAGCTAATTTCTCTCTCGTCCGGGTGCTGGAAAATTATCTAATCTTACTACGCTAATCTCCGCCGAAGAACAGTGCTCGCGGCGATAAATCCGGCGTTACAGTGTCGTCAGTGATGTGACAACTTGCATCTCGGCCTTAGTCGCTCTTTCTTTCTGGCCCCATTGAGAGGGGCATCCTCAAGATACCCCTCGTGGCCCTTAATCTCGGTGTAATCGTGAGAGTCTTATCGCGCGTCGATTTCGGGGCGAGTCGCGAACAAAGGGAGCGCCAGGTCGCACGGACCGAAAGCGAAGGCCCGCTCTCTTCGCTCTCGGGCGCCGTGAGAGCGGCGCGAGCAAGCAGGTACCCTGTCCGTACCTGCGCACCCGTGCACGCACATGCACACACACACATATATATATATATATATATATGGATATATATATATCCGGTACACGTATAGACCTGTTCGAGGGCCCGCTGCATTCAGGGGGTCTCACACGGATCCACTAATAATTCCCCCGCGGTCGGCGGCCCGGGCGCATTCTACGAGCATTACGTGTCTGCATTCCACGTGGCTCCCTGGACCCCCCTCCGCGGCGTGGGGCCCATGGGATCGTTAAGGTAGCACCTTAACGGCCTTTTTACGAAAAGGCGCCCGACGAGGTGTTCCCGCGCGGACCCTCCGTGTGGATGTGTCGCTCATTATTATTCATCCCGCGGCGCCCCGCGCGCGCTACCCGCCGCACTACATATACACGAAAGAGGCGCTTAACTTATTCCTCCTCCCGCGGACACTCCACCGCTCGCTCTCCCTTTCGGTCATCTCTATCTTTGTATGTCCTGGGAGAGACCCGGTCTCTCTCTCTCTCTTTCTCTGCTCACAGTTCGACGAAAGTCGCGTCGTACCACGCGATCTCGGATTAGCGCTGGAATTCCAGACGGGAGGGTCGCGTACAACGTGGTGAAAAAGAAAGGAGATTAGCGAGACTCTCGGTGGACGCACCGGTAATCCGCCAGTCGAATATCCCGCTGGGAGTACTTTATTGTTTCCGTGAACGGACGGAAGAGAGAAGAGTCTCCAGTGATGCGCGGGAGTGTGAAACGCGATGGAAGAGAGGTGGACCCGTCGATATTTTCTCGTTTGTCGCGACGAAAGAGTGAGGGGGGGGGGGATCGTCGAATGATAACGAACGATTCGCGAGGCAAAACGTCGTCCTTCGCGATTCGTATTATCGTCGATTACCACGATGTTGTACGCTCCGTTTGTCTCGAGAACGATGGATAAGTGTCCTTACATAAGATCGACGTTCGGGGAGCAAATTCGCGAAGTATTCCCCCCCTCCCCTTCGTTCCCGCTGGCGCCCGAGATCCTTCTACAACCTTCTCGCTCGAGCGCTTCCATAATTGGGCGAACACGAAAAAGGAGGCACACTTGTCTCGCTCTTGTCTCTCTTCTCCTCTCCTTTTCTATCTCGCTCTCTTTCTCCGTCCCTCAGCTTCGTTCGTTCAAAGCGAATTAATCTCTCGTTGTTATGCGTCGCCGTATCGTGCCGTCTCGCTCTCGACACCCACGTCGATACTAACACGACGATACAAAGACATTCTCGTTTTGGGGACGATCGAGTGCAACTGGCTCCTTCGAGTCGGCATTGATTTGAGGATTCTCGATATACCTGTACGCATGTGTGTGTGTGTCGCGTCGAGTCTTCTGCGATACACGGGAAAGGACGATACGATGTCGGGATATACACGAAGAATGTGCGACACGTGTACGTGGAATTTTATAATTGATTAATCCTTATACGCAATAACGTTATGATTATGACAGTTTTAATATTAAACATTCGCGAAGACTGCGAACGGTGAATTACTTCGCACGATCTCTAGAAAGTAGAGTTGCGTTGTTTCCGAAAGTTGGCGGAATATTTCTAATAATAAGATAACATTTTAGCTGTGTTTTCGTAGTAGAGTAAAAGGGGCAAAGATATCGATCGGTTGACCCAGTTGTTGCTACTAGAGCTGACTCGTGTTATAATTCATTCATAATTATTTTTCTTCATAACTTTACGATAACATCTGTGTTTTTTGTATTTCGAGCTCTGGATGGGACGATAAATCTTTCACAGTAACGTGAAATCGCTTATAATACAGAATTTCGATTCGGTGCTGCTCGTAACCGCCCGGGATTGATCTAAATTCGTGATGTGGGGATTAGCGTGTAATTTGGGCGAGCGTATTTACATGTTATCGGTTCGATCGCTTAATCGGAGCAAGTTAGGTCGGTCCGGATACTCGTGACGTCACGTGTCATTTCGGGTAATTTCGTTTCTGAACTGATAATTCGGATAAATGTCAGTCTCGCCTGGATTTGATACCGTTCGATTGGGAATATTTTATTTCTCATTTTACCCAAAACGTTTTGCTTCCTCTCTGCCCCTTCCTCCGGTCTACTCGTGTCTACTCGTGGAATAACGATCGTTCTTCATTATCGTAAGGATGATTGTTCGCGACGCGACTCTCGAAGGATTCCCGCGAGCTTTATCTCACACGCCGCTCGAACGAGAATCTCGAGGCGGCGCGGCACATTTCGTACTCGCGCCGGTAATCCAAGGTTAGCGTAGTACAAGAAGGACAGGTTCTCGGCGAACTCGCCGAGCGCGACGATTCGAGATATCGATGACACACACGTGTAACTTTACGAGCGATAAACGTCTATATTGGCGCAGAAATCATAGCTGCGAGGACTCCTCGATTCCTCGTCCTTTCTGCTGTCCATTCCTCTCTCTCTCTTTTTCTTTTCTCTTCTCTTCTCTCCTCTTTCTGAAGATAGATATATGACGCACTAAGCTACGGCTTCTCTGGCTTCGACCCAGCCTCCTACGCGGTCGATATAATCATCGAGGAACAACGCGTGCAGAACCGCGGAGGAGGACAGGAGATGTGCAGAGGAGAAGGGAAAGGAGGAGAAGAAGATGAAGGAAGTGGAAGAGAGGCATTGGCACGATGCCGGGCGAGGAATCAATGACCTATTCCTCCATCGGTATTTTCGGTACCTACTTCGGTTAATTGCGTGTACGGGCCGCAAATACGCACGACGACGAACGTGCGACTTACTGCTCTCCTCGTCGTCCTGCCCNCCCCCCCCTTCTCTCCCTCTAGTTTTCTCTTCTCTCTAGTCTCGTCGAATCGTCACTGTCGAGTTTGGCAAGAGACACGGGAGCAACTTCACAGACGCTACATGTCTGGTCAAGTTCCACGAGTTGCCGAGTCTCCCTCACAGGGAGTCCCTCGATTCAACCCGCTGCTCGAGTTTCGCCTGAATGAAACGGGAATTTCGGGAATTCGTGAAATATTTAGAAACTCGGGCGCAAACAAGCTGGATAGCGTTTAGGGGGGAATATCCCCCCTCCCTTCTTTCTCTCTTTTTCTCTCTCTCCATTTGACGGGCTCGCGGGCGCTACTCGAACGTCGTCGTCGTCGCCGCTGCTTCGCAAACTGAGACTCGCACACGTCGATGTTATCTTTAGACAAACGTAATCGTTTTTCCGTAAGCGGTTCGATACGCAGAAACTTTCTGATACCGATCTGACAAGACCACGGCATGAATATGAATCGTTTCGTAAGATTGATCGTTAAGGTACTATTGTGCCGATCAGAATACGCGAGCTTGAAGCGCTGTCCCTCCCGGAGTGATGTCACGATTTTATTTCCGCCAGAGTATTGAAACGCTTTCGACGGACGTGCCTCGAAGCGATTACGCAGTCGTTGGATGTCTAGCATGAATCGCGCTATGAAATATACGTTATTTTCACGTTCTTGTCGATTTGTCGGAACGCGTGTTCTCCCTTCGGCGTATTACC